AAAGGTACTTGTTCCACTTTTTTGTATTATACAGAGTGTTCAAGTAAATTGAAAAATGCTACGGAGAATAGCTTTACTTAAAAACTGGTAGTAGAGATCCCGAGCTGTGTCCCAAATATATGTATTCTTCTAATTCTCCTAAATACATATATGTATTCTTCTACTATTTCCAGTATTGTATTATTTATTAGAATGTCTTTTTTGTTTACTATTTTGTTGTGCATTGCTTTAGTTTTTGCTAATTCATTTTGTGACCTACTATATTGCTGGCTGTATTATTTAGTACGTTTATTTGTGCTTGTAGTTGTTCGGGATTATTGGCAATTAGGACTATGTGATCAGCGAATCTTAGATGATTAAGATATTCCCCATCTATTTTCAATCTTTTGTTGATCTAGTCCAGTTGACGGAAGATTTCTTCTAGTGTTGCAGTAGTGTGCCAGTTGTGAACTCTGAGATAGACTAATGGTAGAAAAGTAATATTAATAAACATATTTTGCTGTACAAATTAAAGGTATCCAAGATATACAAAGCAACAGTAAACAATAGGTTCTTTATTATTTCGTGAAATAAGTGTGTTACCGAAGATCAAATATCATAAAGCTCTTTTCAACACTTTTCATAAACTTTCTTCTTCATAAAATCAAAAACCCCGTATAAATGTGCCACATAAAACGAGGAACCCTGTATATTTTTGTTATATTTCTTGCGGTTTAACTAACGTATACATTGTAAAAACAAGCAAATTTTAATAATTGGATTTTAATATTGCTAAATTTACGTTGCGGTTTGTTATTTTTGTTTTTCTTGTTAGTAGAATTTTCTTGTTATGTCATGATGTGTGAAACCAAAAATAATAAAAATTGTCATAAATAAGCTTGTTAAAAACACAAACCAAAAAATATATTGTCGAGATGCATTTTTGTAGTACCAATTAGTTTTAATTGTTTTTAAATTAAAAAGTAAAATACTTTTATATGCGTATCTAAATAGCATACAGGATGCATATTATTTTTACTAATATGCATCCTTATTATTTTTACTATAATTTAGTATTTCTGAATCCCCATAAAGGTCGTAATAAATATATAGGGTGATATACAGATAAAAATAACTAAAAAAGTTCGTATAAATTTATTTCCTTAAATGCCTCGTTTGGAGATACAGGGTGTAGAACTTTTATTTTTATTTCAATTTTTTCCTTTCGATATTACAGGATTTCAGTCATATCGCTGGACAAATTTCGCCGTTTGCGGGTGTATATAAAAACTCAAATTATAAAACAATCTAGGTTTTTGTATCGTTTATCGCGTATCGCATATAATGTTTGGTTTAGTTAATATAAATCAATATTTAAATTTTTAATATCGAAAAAAATGTTAGTTTTAGTTGCCGTAGCTTTGTCGTAGCCGAGGGTTTTTAAGATGCAGCGCGAAATTATGTGTAGGTAATAATTCATAATTTTCTGGTTTTGGATAAATGATGTCTGATTCTGGAATAGATATTTTCAAATATACAACATATGGTGTTTAGTTTGGAAAATCGTGCGGTTAAAAAAAAACAATTGCTTAAATTTCGAAAAACGTTTAGAGAAAGAATTGACTTAAAATATAAAAAAATGTGAAATTAAACTTTTAGAAACGTGTATGTGTATATATCTATTTATATTTTAGTGACATTATTTAAGTGTGTTTTAAATCCTTCCGTGGAAAATTTGTGTAAAGAACATTGACTGGGTTTTTAGTGAAATTGCACTAGACCACCTGTTTAAAAATGTAAGGGTAGGTTTCATTTTAACACAATTTGTATTTATTTTTAGATTTATTTCCCTTTAATTAAACGTACAAGTACCTTGTAAGAAACGAATTAAATTTGGGCGCGTCTTAAAAAAAATCGACGCAATATTTTTAGATATTGACCTCCCTACAATAATAACCACGAGCCGCCACTGCGCAACATACAGTACCGGCCAAAAGTGGAGAAACTTTTAATATTTTTACTATGTCAAAATACAGTTTCCTCTCTGCAGAATAGGATATCAAGAAAATATTTCGCATTGAATCTGCTTTGTATAGCCATATAAAAACTGCTTAATTTGTGATTATTATGACCCAGAGCACAGTTTATGGTTAATACTCGCTGCCCAGGCAGAAAGTCTTATACACCAATGGAGTTGCCATCGTTAAAGTTTGTATACTATCTCGTCGTAGATAAGTGCATCTCGTATATGGTAGAAGGATCAAACTAAACACATACTAAAAACTGGAGTAGCTGTAAAATATCGACATCACACGATAGGTAAATAAGGGATTTTAGTACTGCAGAAAAGTAATGTCAAAAGGTACTGGTTTAAAAAAATTAAGATTAAAGTTAATTCAACCTTTTAATATTTTTTAATTTTAATTTAATCAACCTTTAAGGTATAAAATTTGGTAGGTGTTATTATTAATAAAATAGTCTGTTTTATTTACCTATGTTTTATTTATTCCTGTGGAATATTACAAATTTGTATTTGTACATAAGTTATATTGATAAATATAATCATAAATGCGGGTAGTTTCATAAAGGTTGAAAGTAAAAAATAGTTCTTTTTTATATTTTTTTGGTATGTAGTGTCTTGTTCTTGTTTGTTTTGTATTAACACATACCGGTTTTATTAAATAAAATAACTCGATTACATTTTTTTCAGTTTTATACAGTTTTTTTCACAATATTTTGAAGTAATCACTTGTCATCTTGTCAATCAAATTTTAAATATTTCCTGCCAGAGTTTCCTGCTATGCGTTCCAGTTGTACCAACTTATTTCTTTGTAAAATAAAATAAACTATACTGGTGGATGAAAAAACGGGTTTTAAATTTTCAGATTTTTTTACATACATAATAATATTTAAAGAGAATAAAGATGCTCTTGAAATTGGCCTATTGACGGCTCTTTATAAATTTTAAGTAAAAAATGAGTAATAAGTCAAAAATAACTAAATCGATTTTTTTGAAAGGATATACAGGGCGAGTCTTAAATAAGTGCAAATATTTTTAGCGGTAGTATATTTTGACCGCAGAAACACGATTATCACCCCAGTAATACGATTATATTCTAAATTTTTTTTTTAAAAGATTGGAATTTTTTGAAAATTTTTTTGAATTTTTTTTTTAGTTTTTAGTTAAAAACCATAATTTCTTTATAATACGGCAACATTGGTAATAGATTAAATTTACCAGACAGAAAAACCCGAAAAGATCCAGTGGTCCTGAAAATTTAAGCAAAAAATATTTTTTTTAGAAATTTTTAAAGTAAAATATAACTCGGTTATTTCGGAGTTACTTGGAAAACGATAGAAAGAAAATATGCTTATTTTATCGAGATCTACCAGCCCTGAAGATATTTGCACTTATTCAAGACCCGCCCTGTATAGTACCCAGAAAATCGACAATTGCTAACTTCCATAAATACTAGTAGCTCTAAAACTCTTCAAAACATAGTTTAAATGCATTTGTAAGGCTCACTAGCTTTATTTATAAAGAAGTTAACAATCATTTAAATCAATACATGAACGATTCGAGGTGTAACTTGTGTGTGTAGAATTTTTAGAATTTAGAATGAGTGGGAGGGGGGTTAATCACTTCGACCTTACAGATCCATTGTGTCCCCCTTTCTTGAATCATAACTCATCATACAGTCCCAGGGCTTTGACAAAAGCCAGTATCTGGGACGGTTTTATAGAGGGTAGTTCTCCATCTCCAATATCAGTCGTACCAAAATTCATGGCACGAATGGTTGTCGTCTCGGCGCACTCAGTGATGAGGTGTACTGGTGTTTCCCCATCTTTCCCACAGAATCTGCATTCGCCGTTTCTTCTTAGTTTCAATCTACTGAGGTGTCCATTGAGGAGACAGTGTCCTGTTAAAAACCCCGTGACAATCCGAAGATTGTTCTTACTCAGAAAGATCTGTGATTTTTCTTGATCATAAGCCCTCAGAAACTTCTTCGAGTGTTTTAGACCATTGCAAGATTTCCATTCCAGGTTGCGGATGGAATCTTCCAAGTTCCTGAGTTCCGCCTTGAGTTGGTTACCACTTGGAAAGCGGAACGGTTCTGGTCCAGTTAGTGGAGTGTTCGCTTCTTTCCTAGCTAGATTATTTGCTTTTTCATTGCTTTCTATCCCTTGGTGAGCAGGCACCCAGTGTAGGAGGACTTTGTTTTCTTTGCCTAATTTATTCAGCTTCTCTATGCATTCTTTGACCAATTTCGAATTGATTGATACTGAGTTGATCGCCTTTAACGCTGCTTGACTATCAGATAAGATGGCTATTTCTTGTTTCCGATAGTTCCTATCTAAGATAAGTTGTACGCATCTCTCGATAGCGTAGATTTTTGCCTGTAGGATACTAGGGTAAGTGCCCATTGGTTCGGAGTAATTAGCTCTCGGCCCAAACACTCCGATCCCTGTTCCCGTATTGGTTTTGGAAGCATCAGTATACCAAGTTATGGTATGGTCTTTTAACTGCTGGGCAAGCGTTTCGCTCTTCCAATCCTTCTTATTGCTCAATACTACATTGACATGTTTGCTTTTTCATTGCCTTCTATCCCTTGGTGAGCAGGCACCCAGTGTAGGAGGACTTTGTTTTCTTTGTGTGTGTAATGAGGTGTATTGTTTTATACACGACAATCAAATTGCATTATCGTCTTGTATAAAAAATAACTTTATGTTGAAATTGACTTGAGTTTTAAATCATTTTGATTTTAGAAATGATTTAAAGTTTTTTTGAAACTGACTTGTTGCAGCTCTGCTTTCAACTGCTGTAAACGCTTCTTAACTCTTTTAGTCCGAGGTCGAGACCCGGAGGCCCGTGGAAGTACCACCGTTGTCGACCGCTTCTTCGCGCTCGACTACGTCACACCCGCAGTACCTCAACTCCTTTCGTACCCTCTATTCGCGCACCCAAGTACCGCCCGCTGGCCAATCCCCGCGCACACTCCGCTCACGGCCCGTGTGGCGCGATGGAGGGGGGCGCCACAAGCACCGCTAGCACCTCCAACCACTCAGTACCATCCGTACTACTATCATCGCTATTATCAGCATCTTCCTACAAAACCGGCGTGCCGTAGTAAAGCTCTCGCATCGCGAATATACTACCTGTTTCGATAACTGTGTGCACTCTCGAGTTAATATGATTTCGGCGCGATAATAATGAGTTTGAAGTGGCTCGTGCTGACATTGTTCTTGGTGTTGGTGGGTTTGAGCGGCTGGGTTAGGGGATGCGGACCTGGCCGGGGAGCTTTTAAGCGCCGGGGACCGAAGAAGCTGACCCCGCTGGTGTTCAAGCAGCACGTGCCCAACGTGCCGGAGCACACGCTGACGGCCAGCGGGGCGGCCGAGGGGAAGGTGAGCAAGAACGATTCGCGGTTCAGGGATCTGCAGCCGAACTACAGCGGGGACATCGTGTTCAAGGATGAGGAGGGCACGGGAGCGGACAGGCTCATGACGGGGGTAAGTTTTCACAAAAACCAAAATATTTTTTTAAAAATCAGTTAAAAAAATTTCTGCAATGTTTTTGGGGGGTACAACATAATTTCAAAAGTTCTAGAATTTCTTTATTTGGGACTAAAGTGAATCTAAAACGCTGCAAAACACACGAAAATGGGGCATTCTGTATAAATTAATTCTAATTAATTTAAAAAATTGGCGGTTTGATTGTAAAAATCTATTTCAAAATTATCACATACAGAGCTACAAGTAGGTACACAGAAAAAAATAATTTTATTGACTTAAGTCATTTCATTTTAAGTCATTTTTTAAAAGCTGCGTTAAAATGTTTCAAAAAATGTCTGCAATTTTTCTGGGGGTGGGTTTTATAAAATCCCCTCTTACAGGAATAAACAAGCTAATTTTAAATATTTTTAAAAATTCTACAATTTGTATATTTGAGACTAAACTGACACTAAAACGCTGTAAAACACACGAAAATGGGACATCCTGTATAAATTAATTCTAATTAATTTAAAAAATTAGACGGTTTGATTAAAAAAATCTATTTCAAAAATATGACATACCTACAGAGCTGCAAACTCACAGAAAAGTCAACTCTTGACTTGGATTTTAATCATTTTAATGATTTAAGTCATTTGATTTTAAGTCATTTTTCAAAAATTGACTTAAGGCTTAAAATTTAAGTCATCTGTTAAATCTTTATTCAGAAATATATAGAAAATAATTAAATCATTAATAAAAAGGCTTAAATATTTTAAAAGATTTTAGATTTAATAAATTTTATGATAAATTTTTATTTAAACTGTTAGGTGACAACTAGGTGGTAGTTAAAAATAACAACAATCAAAATTAACACCACTAGCAAATCAAAAAGTTCGGGTAAATTTTATAAAAAACATATTTTTATGTTTGTAGTTATGTATTCTGCAAATGAACCCATTTATTTGATGTGATACTTATTAGTCTCATATTTTGCGCCTATATACAATAAATTATTAATGTAGGTAATATAAGGAACGTCTATACCTATGTAGCGGATTCATCTCTCCAAAAAAATCCTTTATGAGTATTTCGCCACTGCACTGCAAGAAAAATCTACAAAATAAAATAGTTATTTTTTTGTAAACACTTCTGCGTTAAACCTAAACGGACACTGCTTGTCAGAAGTTTTGTTTACAGTAATAAAAAAATTGCCTAACAAAGAAAAAAATACTTAACATTTCGGAAAGTCTATCTTTTTCGGTCGTCAGAAGCAAAAAATACTAAGAATAAAGAAAAAAAACTATTTAAAATATTTAAATTCAAACTATTATGAGAACACTTTAGTTTTTTTTAAAGCAGATACGTCTACAAGAAACCGTTGACGTTCTGTTAAAATTACATTTTATCAAGTTAAATTTCAAAATTAACAATTACTACCTGATAACAATTACTTAATAAGGTAAAACCAAAAAGCCCCAAACTTCCTGTATGATTAGTTTTAAATTTTACGTATGTTATGTTTATTTATGTTATGTTCTTTAAAATCAAAGAAGCGTTTTCCATACATTACTAACATCTACAGATGCATGAGCAATACATTTATTTTTATTAGATTGAATTAAAAAAGCCTCTTTTATTTTTCTTTTAGAGGCTATCGCTTCTTTCATTATAATTTTGGCGTTATCAAAATCTACTCTATACCCTGCGTCCCATGCATGCTGACAAATCTTAGATTTGTGTAAATCTCCCTTTCTTAAATAATCTTTATGTTTTTTAATTCTAACATTTAAGGGTCTAGATGTTTCACCAATGTAAAATTTATCACATTCACATGGTATTTGGTATATTACATTTTTTGTTTGTTGTTCTGTATTCATTGGTTTAGTACGTGATAAAATTCAGTGCAGCGGCGAAATACCCATAAAGGATTTTTTTGGAGAAATATAAGGAACATCGTAACAAGTGCAAATATGTTCAGTGCTGGTAGAATCTCCATAAAATAAACATATTTTCTCTTTACCGTTTTTCAAATAAGTACCTACAAAATAACCAAGACATTTTATTTTGAATATTTAAAAAAAATGTTTTTTCGTTTAAATTTTGAAAACCGCTTGATCTTTTCTGGGTTTTCTCTCTTGTAAATTTATTCTAAGTACCACCACCTAGGGTGGTACTACCTATGTTACCATATTATGAAGATATTATGTTTTATTTAACTAAAAATTGAAAAAAAACTTTCAAAAACTTCAAATTTTCATTTCATTTCTGGGGTCGAAATATACTACTCTTAAAAATATTTGCACTTATTTAAAACTCACCCTGTATATACCCTATAATATGAGTTCGAGCTAAATTTTTACTAATTTATTGGTTAGAAATATATTAAACGATAAGGAAACGTTATAAAGTACTACTTAAAATAATTTTTTATAGCTATACTTACTATATTTTAAGCAAAGAAAAAGGTGGTAATCGAATGAGAACTGAGAAATTAAAAAGTATTAATTTGTGTTTTATTATTTTAATAATACCGGGTGTGTCTCAAAAGTGGCCTACCCCTATAACTTTTTTATTTTTTTTTAGATAAAAAAATGAGATTTGGTATGTTAGTATGTGATATAAATCAGGATTTATTGACGTATTCAATTATTTTCGGTCACCGGAAATGACTACAAGTTTTGATTTTTAAATGACATCCTCGGTATTTTTTTACTTTATTCCATTGAATAAGAAGACTAAGGAAGGAGCATAATGCTATCCATGTATTCATGCATGGTGGGCGGAAAAAGCACTCTAGGGTGGGGATCCTTGACAGTTCTTTTTGACGATTCATTTGACACATTTGAATTTGATTTGAAATTTTGTGGATTTGTCAGTCTTTACGGAGCTTATTTTATGTTATTTATTATTTATTCTACTACTGATAGTTGTATAAAGGTAGTAAATCTAGATGGAAATTGTGGCAGAACTTAAATTAACAGTGACACTATCGCGATTTATCGAAAAAAAACTCTAAAATAGTTGGTTGTGTAGCGTGCGGTAGATCTCGGCAAAAATCGAGTGAAATAATGGAACAACTTTTCGCTAGTAAGTGACTATATAATATACATACGTGTAGTAAACCGATCATTTATGAAATTCACTTAAATTAACTAATTATATATTTTTTCTTGCATTTTTGCATTTATTTACTACTTGTCAAAGATTAGATGTCAAAGAATTTAGATACGTCAATTTGACTTACCTGCTTCAGTAACGTATTGGATGTTTATGGTTATAAATAATTATTATAACTTATCCATTTTTATTAGAATTTTATATTTTTATAACAATTTTAATAACTACCTACATTTATTCACAACGTAAAATAAAAAAAAAATATTGAGTCTACCCCACGTCTACCCTACATCATAGTTTTACATTTTTTAAATAAAATTAGAACGGCACTGATAAACAGGAATTAAAGTCGGCCATATTTGAGGCCCATCGCGGTGGCCCTAAGATTTTTAATATGCTCCTTTCTTAGTCTTCTTATTCAAAGCTTTATCCGATAGAAAAACTGTCACTCTGAATAGAATGACATATTATTATATCTCAACTTTTGACATATTCGCTTAAAAAAACATCGTATTTTAAATTTCAATCTAGAGTGCCAAAAACATTAATTTTTAATCAAGGAGCCTTGGAACAATATATTTGATCGTGTAATGTTATTAGTGTTTTGTCCTGGCCGGTTAAAGGATGCCTAAATCGTATTTTTGATCATACCTCAATTTTTTCAAATAGAACAAAGGTTGCGGTTATTTTTTGTGAATAATTTGATACCAGACTCTTGGTGTTTTGAATTAAATATCGTTATGGATCGTATGTTACAATTTCGAATAAACCATATTCGAAAATGTCAAAAGTTGACATTTTTCGTATTTGTATACTATTTGTTTCGGAAAAAAATTCTCCGAAATTTTTTTCCCAAAAACTATGCGATAAGTATGGCATTTTTTTAAAAGAGACAAAAAATGTAGTGAATACAAGGAGGACCATTTTACGAAAAAAATCAGTCGTCGATGAAGTTGGAAAATATTCTTCCTAATAATACTAATATAATATGTACAATTACTAATACAAACACCCCAAATCTCATTCAAATCGGAATATTAATTTTTAAAATATCATATTTTTTAAAGTTTGATGCCTTCTAACGGACAAACGAAGCACTTTTATATAGAGGTAAATTCCAATAAATTTCTTTTGATTCCAAAAATACTTATCTAGTAGTTCTAGATCCCCGGAATATCGGGACACCCTGTATACAGAAAAATATTTTGTACAGTCATTCGATTATCTTACACATGTAAATCAATTAATTTTATGTTCCCAAGAGGACTAAATTAGTTTCTTAAAGATATTTGAAAATCCCCAATAATTTATTACCTAGAAATATGTTCTAGTCATTCGAGGCTTTGAAACGGTTTCAAGTACAATACGCTATTTTAAGTTTTTTTCTACATCTAATCTTATTTAATAATAATTTATTGTCAAGTGGTTTATTGTTGCAGCAAATCCATTTGTTTAATTTATTAAAAATAAACCTTCCGGTTAAAAGGTATTAACAGGCTGGGAGTAATGAGAAAATCAAATAGATTTAATAGTAAACACGAGTCAAAAATAGTTAAATTTTACTATAAACAGACCTGTGCTATTTTAACTGCCTACTTATTATTTTCGAGGTTTGTTAAGAACGTGTGAATTAAATCCAGTTAAATATAAATAAAGTGAACAATATTGCAATTTTTTAAAGTTGCGGAAACTAAAATTCAAAATTAAATTTCATTATACCGGGTGCGTCTCAAAAGTGGCTCACCCCTATAACTTTTTTATTTTTTCAGATAAAAAAAAACGAGATTGGTATGTTAGTTTATGACATAAATTAGGATTGATTGACGTATTCAACTGTTTTTGGTCACTTTCAGTTTCACCGGAAATGACTACAACTCTCTATTAGGCGACCATACGAACAG